AGCAAGATGGACCCATGTCTCTACTTTCGTCACTACAATAGCAAGCTGACCTTGCTGGGTCTCTATGTGGACGATGTGATTATCGTCAGTGAAGTTGATGCTGATAGTGACTGGGTAATGCGACAACTCGGCATCAAGTTAATCCAACCCAGTACGAGAGGAACCGTTGGTTCAGATAATTGGTAACTGCGGTTAGCTGAAAAGCTAGTGCCGCCAAGCTACCATCTGTAGGATTATGGCTGAACGCCTCTAAGTCAGAATCCATGCTGGAATAGACGATAATCACCTTTCCCGATGTGCCGCGAATAGCGATAGGTGTCTTCTGGACACCCAACATCATACAATTGCAACGCACTCCGCTGCCTGTCAAGTACGGGCGGTGGAGAGTAGGCTGATTTGTAATTTCAAATATTGGGAAAGATAAATCCTTTGTAGACGACTTAACTACAGAACGGGGTGTTGTAAGCATGAGAGTAGTCTTGTACTACGATCTGCTGAGATTTAGCCCTTGTTCTATTGATTTGTTCAGAAATGAACATTTCTCCCCCCAATTGCAAACGCGCAATGTTAAAACTATAAAGTTAAGCAGTCGAAATAAGGCTGCGTTAAAGTGATTTACTTTCGCTATGGGGCGGCGAAAGTAACCGGTCAAAGTGCTGGTAGAGAGTTAATACTGTTAAGCTTAAGATCGTCAAAGTCTTTGTTTTGGCTTAGTGAGGTTTGTTCGCAAAAATCGCTAAGTGCCGCTGCTATTGTTTTCCGAGCCAAATTCGGCGACCTTAGTATCGGGTTTATAACAGGCAGAAAGCGAGAAACACTTTGCGTGAAAATCGCTAAGTGCCAGCGCTAATGATTTCTGAGCCAAAATCGGAGATTTTAGTATGGGGGTTTAACAGGGCAAGCTAGACGGCAGGGCGTAAAATTAGACTTGGTTTAAGTATGTTAAAAGAGAGCGAATAGCGTGAATTAGACTTGGTTTAACTATGTTAAAGAGAGCGGAATAGCATGAATTAGACTTGGTTTAAGTATGTTAAAGAGAGCGGAATAGCATAAAATAGACTTGGTTTAAGTATGTTAAAAGAGAGCGAAATAGCGTAAATTAGACTTGGTTTAACTATGTTAAAGAGAGCGGAATAGCATGAAATAGACTTGGTTTAACTATGTTAAAGAGAGCGGAATAGCATGAAATAGACTTGGTTTAAGTATGTTAAAAGAGAGCGAAATAGCGTGAATTAGACTTGGTTTAAGTATGTTAAAGAGAGCGGAATAGCATGAAATAGACTTGGTTTAACTATGTTAAAAGATAGCGAAATAGCGTGAATTAGACTTGGTTTAAGTATGTTAAAGAGAGCGGAATAGCATGAAATAGACTTGGTTTAACTATGTTAAAAGAGAGCGAAATAGCATGAAATAGACTTGGTTTAACTATGTTAAAGAGAGCGGAATAGCATGAAATAGACTTGGTTTAACTATGTTAAAAGAGAGCGAAATAGCGTGAATTAGACTTGGTTTAAGTATGTTAAAGAGAGCAGAATAGCGCGAATTAGACTTGGTTTAAGTATGTTAGAGAGAGCAGAGTAGCGTGAATTAGACTTAGTTTAAGTATGTTAAAGAGAGCGGAATAGCGTGAATTAGACTAGGATAAAGTATGCAAAATGAAGCTGAGGACTTTGTGAAAAAATGCGAAGTTGTTTGCTGTTCTAATTGTATGGGTTTGGAGATGTTTTTGGCT